GCTGCACGCCTCCGCGCGCCTGCTCGCCGCGCACAGGCCGCCCGTTGGGGCGTCCTCCAGCGCCGCCGCGCCCCCGCGCAGAGGCGGCTCCGGCGCCAGCGCCAGCTGCAGCTCCTCGGCGGTGAAGCGGTGGGGGCGCACGGCGCCGGGCGGCCGCGCCGTCGCGGGCGCGGCTGGCGCGTGCGGGCTGCACGGCGGCTCCCTCGCGATCGCCGCGCCGGTCCCGGCACCAGCGGAGCACGGCCGGCGCGGGCGGCCCTGCGCGCCGCGCGCCTCGGGCGGCGGCGCCGCGGGCCCGCCGCAGGCGGAGCGCGGGCGACGCGGGCGGCCCCTCGCGCCCCGCGCCTGCACGGCGGCGCTGCGCGGCGGGGGGCGCCCGAGCAGCGGCGGGCGGGCGCACGGGCTGGCGCACGGGCTGGCGGGGCGAGCCACGTCGAGGCCGAAGGGCTGCTGCTCCACCGCCAGCGCGGCAGGCGCGCGGCCCTGCTGCTGCTGGTCGGAGGGCTGGCGCCCCCCTGCAGGCGGTGCTGCAGGCTCGCAGCCCTGCAGCTGCTCGAACCAGCACACGAGGGCCGCGCAGGTGCCCACGAGGTCCGACACGAACTTTTTCGCGACGCGGCCCGCGAGCTGCTCCGGGGTCGGCGGCTTCCTCTCGGGCCGCCGCCCGCCTCGGCGCGCGGACGCTGGCAAGGCGGCATTTGGGATGCTGGGCGGCGGCCCCAACTCCGCGGCAGGGCAGCCTGGCGGCGGCCACAGCAGCTCGCCAGGGGCAACGCGGGGCCGCTCGGGCAGCGCCTCGCACGGCGTGCTGGAGCCTGAAGGCCGCGCCACGCCCGCGTCGTCGCCGACGGTACCGGCCTGCGTGGCGTGGCCCACGCAGCTCGAGTCCCCGACGTCAGACTGCACCGGCAGGTCGTCCTGGGTCAGCTGGGGGCGGAGCTCGGCCGTCGAGAGGGAACTGCAGTGGGCCGCACTGATACTGCAGTGCCCCCCTTCGGCCTCGCACGGCGGCCGCTCGACAAGGGCAGCGCTGCCGCTCGGGGGCGTCGGCATGCCCCGGCCCCTGGCCCGTCGCCAGGCCCTTGAGCCAGGCTGCAGATGCGCTCGAGCACGCAGGCCTGTCGAGCGCTGCGGCGCGAGCGACCCTGTGTGACCAACCGACGGCCAGATGGCTAACCCCACCAGCCCTTTAGGGAGTGAGCGGTTTAGCGCGTTGTTTAAACTTCCACCCCGCCTTCTTCCTCTTCGGAGAGGAGTTTCTCACTGCTCCTTGTTGATAACCACCGCCTACCCCAAACCAGCGACAAACCAAGAAGAATACCAACTGTCCCCACCATCACTTGCAATCAAACAATAAAGTGCACTTTGCACCAAAGTCTGGATCATGCGCGGGCGCCCCGAGATGACTTTCATTGGCGTTTGCTCAAAAATGGTAGCAGTGTCGAAATATGGATTGCCTGTCGTGTGCACTGCGCCAACAGCCACCCACACCATCCCTTGTACAAACAAGACAGACTGCACTTTGCACCAAAATCTGGATCATGCGATGGCCCGCGATCACTTTACGATAGGGATGGTGGGGATGTCGGCAGATTGCCTGCTGTGCGATCTGCCAACAACCCCCCGCACCATCTTATGCAGCCAAACATACAACCTGCACCTTGTGCACCAAAATCTGGATCACGCGCGGACGCCCCGCCATCACTTTGCATCGGCGTCTGAAAAAGATGGCGGGGGGGAGGCGGCATATTGCCTGCTGAGTGCAGTGCCAACACTCCCTAGCAACAGAAAACAATACAACATGCACGTTGCACCAACATCGGGATCATGCGCGGGCGGCCCGCGATCACTTCGCAGTGGTTCTGGACAGGGACGGCGGCGGGGTCGCGATACTGCCTGCTACGTGCAAGCCCACCATCCCTGTAGAAAAAAAACAAGTGCAAACTGATTGCGCGCACACGATGTTTGCACACCCGCCGTCACTGTGCGTGGCCTTTGACAGGGATGGCGGGGGGTCGAAATATTGCTCAACGTGGCACCGCTGGTGCGCGTGGCGCACCTGTCATGAGCAACGCACCACGCCGGCGTCGCGCACCTGGCTGGCGTCTGCATTGGTTCCCGACTGTTGTCGATAGCGGCCCCTGCCTATGCTGAGACCCGGGTGCCACTCATGTAATGGAAGGGCGGTGGGAGTGTGCGAGACAGCCTGCGGCGTTCCCGCTGGGAACTTGGCCCCTACCTCTACCCCCTTCCTGGACCTGGACTTGGACGGAAGGGGGCCGCGGGTCGTTGCAGCGTCCAGGAGAGCCCAAGAGGGCTCGAAGACGGCCTCAGAGAGAGCCAAATTAGATGCTTCGGAATGGCTTCCAACATGCTCCAAGAGTCCCCAAGACCGCCCCAAGGTGGCTTCGATTGACCACGGAGCCTCCCCAGGAAGCCACCAAGACGCCAACATCCTCCAAGCATCTGGACGCAAAGTAATGGCAACGGTGCCTGCCGTCTCGCCGTTTCGCGTTCGAAGGCCCTCTGAGCCCTCAAGCTTGCTCCACGAAGGCCCAACATAGCCCCAAGAGGAGCCCAAGACGGTCCCTAGACGGCCCCAAGAGCGCCCAAGAGAAGGTCAAGATGTGGTTTCAAGGGATCTGGAGGGATGGGGCTAATTGATGGAGGGCCCCCCCTTCTTTAATCGGTCTCCTCCAAGATGGTCCTAAGATGCCCCCCCAGGAGACCCGAAGGGGCCCCGAGAGGTCCCCAGGAGGCTGCCAAGAGACCCCTAAGAGGCCCCAAGAGGCCCCCCCGAGGTACCCAAGAGGACCCAAAGAATCTCTCATGACTCATGACTCGTGTCTCATTGAGACATCCGAATCGACTCCAGGAAGCATCCAATATGCCTCTAGCCTTTCTGCTCGCCCTCCTCCTCCTTCCTCCTCCTCTTCCTCATCCGCCCATTTCTCATCCTCTCTACTCCCTCCTCCCCCGCTCCAGCCAACGCGCCCAGCTTCGCGCTCCGCGCTGCGCGAAAATCGAAGAACAACGCGCTCTCGCGCCTCCCCCCAAGAGAGCACACGCGGGGAAACCGAAAGGTTCCGGTACCGTTACTCCCTGGACCTCCCCCGGGGCGCGTTCTGACCAGAATTTCGAAGCGAATCCAGCGGTGGCGACGAGGACCCAAAAGGCGAAAGTGAGGCCAAAATAGCGGTATGAACAGCTCTTCCTCCTCTGAAGAGGGGGATGGAGGAGAAATCGGAGCCGAACCGCGAAGCGTGCCGCGAAGCGCGAAGAACTTCGCGCGTTCGAGTGCGCCCTCCAAAGGAACCTCGGACGTTCATTCCCGTGCAATTTTTGTTGATTTCGCGCGTGCTCTTATGGCCCGGTGCGAAGAAGAAGAAGAAGAACAAAACGCCGTAAACATAACTTTTGGCGCTCCGCGCGGACTTCTTGGATCCGCGCTGGACCCCCCCCGCCTTGGCGCGCGGAGCGCTCCAGGGGCAGCGCCAGAGACGTCGCCAGGGGGGGCCCAGCGCGGAGCCCAGGAATCCGCGCGGAGCGCCAACAGTTTACGTCTATGCTTAGGTCGGGCATGTCCTCCTACAGGGGGGCTTTGGACGAATCTAGACAAATCGTCCCCAGACTTCTTTGTTGACTAAGTTTGAATATTCCATCTGTAGATGCACACGTCCGACTCAAACCTATGGCGCTTTGTCTTGCTCGAGAGGATGCTCCTCGATGGTCTCCTCGGCCAGAGAAACAAACAAAACAAGAAAAAACAAAAAAAAAAAAAAAACACGCGTCGGGGCGATGCCGGGCGAGGGCGGCAGAGCCCACAGCCGAATCGACAAGTCGGGGATCGGCGACCGCGACGAGGCGGCTCGGCGGAGAGCGGCAGCCGAGCCGGGAAACGTCGGATCGGCAGACGTCGGCAGGCCAGGTAGGCCCTCCAATCCGAACTCGGAACGCAGATCGAACTCCCAGGTCGAATCGGAACGGAATCGGAAGCAATCGGAATCGAATCGAGAAGCCAGATCGGGGGAATCGCCCTGCGAGGGTGCCCTCGCCCCCTCTCTCCGCCCCGCGAGGCCCGCCTGCTCCGGGTCGTCGGGCTCGTCCATGCCCCCGGCGCCGGCCTCGGGGGCGGGCGGGCACGAGCGCCCCCCTTGGAGGCCTGGAAGTGGACACTGGCACTACAGCAGGGGCTTGCGCTCACCGGGGAAGGATGATCCTGGATTTTGGTGCTGGTGGTAATCTGTCGGCCACCTGGGAAGCCTAACTAGTACCACCATCACCGAGACTGGGATCAGCTCCCCTCGGTGGAGGCACGCTGCCAAATCTTGGTGTTGGTGCCAACCTCTGGGCCTCCGACCCCCCCCCCGTCCCCCAGGTGAAAGGGGCCCGGGGGCGCCCAATGAAATAAATAGGCACAGATCCCAGGATTCCCCTTCCTTGTGCTGGGTCTTCGTCTGCCTCCCAACTATGCCATTCTTTCCCATACATATATATATACACACAGAAACATATACATATACATATACGAGAGAGCGTGATCCACCGCCGCTTTACTATGGAAAATTGCCAACCTTTTCCTCCGGAACCCGGGGTTCGCCCCCGCCCCCCCCTCCGAAAATCCCCCCCCCCCCTGCTGGAACCCCTCCCCCCCCCCCCCCCCTCCCTCCCCAAAACCCCCCCCTCCCCTAACCCCTCCCCCCCCCGTGGGGTTAGATTTAAGACTATGTGGCGTGCGCTGTTTTTCTGGATCGAAAGTACCAACAGTTCTCAAAAAAAAACAAACAAAAAAAAAAAAAGACCTGACAGGTCTAAAAAAAAACAAAAAATCAAATGATTTCAGAACTTATGCTGGCCCGTGGAGGGCCGCCCGATATTCTTCGCCAGAACCGTTTTTTTAGATCTGTCAGGTCTTTTTTTTTTTTGGTTTGTTTTGGTTGTTAGACCTGTCAGCACTTTTCTGTTCCTCCTCCTCCTCCTCTCCTCCTCCTCCTCCTCCT